TCCCAATTTTGTACTAGCGGGAGGGTATGTATAAAGTATGTGCATAATTACAAACGTGTATATCAGCAAAAAGATTTTGGTGCGCGCTGCGCATTCAACTTCAGAGGAAGCCCATGTGTGTGAAGCAAGAACCCCCCCCCCCCCCCCCCCCCCCCCCCCCCGCGATTTTCAAAAAAAAAATGTGTGTGTTTTTTACGGTTTTAGGTGAGAACACAGCCTTATATAAACTTATAGGCCCTAAACCCCAACCCTGAATCCTGAACCCTCAACCCTAAACCCTGAACCCTAAACCCTAAACCCTGAAAAATACGAAAAAAGCCAGAAAAAGCACGAAAAAAAGCCTGGACCCGTCCATGTGCGTGTGGTGCCTGTGCACCTCGGAGGCCTGCCAAGAAGCCGAGCTCCAGCAGCTTGGCCCGGGAGGCCGAGGAAAAGTCTCCCCCAAGTGCCGCTCTAGTTGATCTTGGGATATTTTTGCAAGTGCCAAGGCCCTCTAGAGAGGGCTCTATGTGGATTCTCTCTTTTCTTCTTGTTGGTCTGCCGTGCAGGGCAGATGCCCGAGATGCCCCAAGATGGCGCTCAGAAGCCGAGCCCGGCCGGGGGGGGATCCTTCGCAGTCTCTTGCACGGAGTCATCGCATTGAAGCTGCCCGAAGCTGTGGAGGTGAAAGGCATCTGCTTAAAAGACTTCGAGGCACTGGTGGAGGACACTCCACCGCAGCTCTCACTGCCAACAGTTCAACTGGCTGCAGCGGCACCTGCAGTCAGGAGCGAAAGGAGTGGCTGGAAGGTCCCACGGAGCGGGGCAAAGGCAGGAAGAACATGTATGACTTGGTCGCCAACGTGATCCTCGCGTGAGCCCCAGGGTCTGTGATGATGTATAGTAAGTATAACACAGCGTAGCCTCACGAACACGGACTGTAGAAGAGCTCGGCACGGAGGTGTCCACCATCAGCGCCTCGTCTTCAGCGCCGCTCAAAGCCCCATCAAAGCCAACCCTCTCTCTGCATCTGTGTGAGTGCATCTGTCTCTCTTCCTCCCTCTCTCCCTCTCCCCCTCTCTCCTTGTCCGTGTGTCTCTTGGTGTGTTTTGCGTGTGCGCGCGCGAAGCTTGAAGCTCTGGGCCCGGTGCTCTGCAGGGAGGTCTGAGCCGGGCCTTTGCAGCTTTGTGCGAACGCCTCTCAGGTCCCTTCTCCCGCTGCCCTTGCGAGAAACTTCCGGGGACACCCAGAATCCCGAAACCCTATAGCTCCGAAACCCTACAAAGACGGTCCCAACATGTTCTCAGGACTTGTAAACTTATCGAAGTTGAAATTAGAAGGGGGTTAGGAAAGTTAGAAAAATGAGAGAAGTTAGCCTGAGAAAAACCTAGAGAAAGTTTGCAAAACTTGCTTTGAAAATAACTAGAACGAACGAAGCCAGAATTGTTTTTTGTTCATGTAGCAGGAACAAATGGTCATCCTGCTCTGGCCAGTAGGGCACAAACCAGCTTATTAAATTTTGTCCTTTGTTCATGACAACCCTGCCCGAAACCAAAAACATGGTGTAAGAATTTGGGGCCCCGTTTCATTGCGCCAACTTTATATGTTGCCTCCTTTGTTCACCGCACTGCCGCCCAAAGCCAAAACAAGGCGGAGCGAATCGGGGCCCCGTTTGTTGATGACATCGCCGCCCAAAACCAAAAACATGACGTCACAAATCGGGGCCCTTTTTTTGCGCCGAGTTTTTGGTTTCCCCTTTGTTCGAGAGGCTCCTGCCCAAAACCAATAACATGGGGCCCCGTTTTGTTACATCGAGTTTGTTTGTGTCCTTTATATAGGGCTTTAAGGGTTTAACAAAATCGCGCTTTTCTTCTTGACATAGGCTCGACGAACACAAACAGGTCCGTAACAAAGTGGCGTCTGTTTTTAAACATAGTAGGCTCTATGAACACAAAAATGTCCCTAGCAAAGTGGCGCTTTTTTTCAACCAGGCTCGATGGACACAACAATGTCTGTAACAAAGCGGTGCTCTTTTTTTGCGCACGGGATCGATGGACGCAAAAATGTCCGTAACAAAGTGGCGCTCTTTTTTTGCACATATAGGCTCGATGGACACGAAACTGTCCGCAACAAAGTGGCGTGTCTGTTTCCACAGGCTCGATGAACACAAACGGGTCCATAACAAAGTGGCTTTGTTAAAACATAGGCTCGATGAACACAAAAATGTCCGTAACAAAGTGATGCTCGCTTTTTGCACATAGGCTTGACGGACACAAAAACGTCCCTAACAAGCTGGCTGTTTTTTCACAGGTTCGATACACACAAATATAATCAAATATATCCGTAACAAAGTGTCGCTTTTCTATGCATAGGCTCGATGAACCCCCAAAATGTCCGTAACAAACTCCTTTTAAGGGGCTCCTTTTTGGGCTCCTTTTAGAGGGCTGGCTGTTGTTTTGGGTCCCCTCAAAACCTCGCTGTGGCCGCCCTAAACCAAACAACCTAAAGCCCGAAACCCGAAACCCTAAAGCCTAAACCCCAAACCCTAAATCGTAGGACCTCACACAAACTCAACTGCCTGCGAAAGGCCCATGAGTTCAGAATTTTTCAGAACTCATGGGTTTTCTCCTCATATGTCAAAGGTCCCTGAGTTCATTTTTTCCTGAACTCATGGGCCTTCACCTTTCGTGTCCAAGGCCCCAAAGTTTAACGATGTTTTAGAAACAGGTGATTTACCCGCATAGATAAATGAATTGTTGTCGTGTCTGGCGTTTACAAAACTCTATATTATATGTTTGTGCGGCGTTCTCGGCCCTCCTCTTCCGCCCTCCCCCCCCCCCCCCCCCCCAAACCCTAAGCCCTACTAAACCCCGGCAACCCTAAACTCTGAAGCCCTAAAAACCCTAAACCTGAAATTTGCAGTATAGGGTTGAGGGTTCCCGAGCCTGATCCCTTCAGCCAACCCCCAGACTCCATCCCAAGCCTCAACCCCTAACCTCAAATCCTAAACCCGAAGCCTAAACCCTCAAGCCAAACTCCAAACCCGAAACCCAAGCCCCAGGCCCTTAACATCCCTAACCACTGCGTGATTCTATCCAGCACCCCCCCCCCCCCCCCCCCCCCCCCGCTCTCCCTCCTCCTCAACGTTTGTCGTTTAGGATTCAGGGTTGAGGGTCCCAACACGGCAACCCTAAAGCTGGAAAGCCAACACTGCCAACACCACCCCCACTTCTCCCCACACCAAATGTGTTCTGCCTTCGCTACACACACATATATAGATAGATAGATTGGTTGATATATATATATATGTTTTTCATTGTTATTTATTTATTTTTTTACTTGCTTTTTGATTTGTTTTATTTTATGGCCACCTACAACCAATCTGCAAGCCTTGCCCAAAGAGCAGCACTTCATTGTGCTTCGAACGAAACTATGAACGAACATAAAAAGTAGGAAAAAACTTGGACAAACTTAATGACTTTGAACAAGTTAGGAAAACTTCGGAAAATGTTAGAAAAAGTAAACATAAAACTTAAAAGAGCCTACCTAGAACATGTTAGTAACTTCCCGAACTAAACCTAACCTGGTTCTAACTCATGGGGAGGTTACAGTACTGAACTTACACCCAGGTTACAGAACGGTTCTAACCGGGTTGCAACCGGGTTACTAACTTCTATAAGTCCGCCGAACATTTAGGGCCCGTCTCAGTAAACCCTAACGTATTTCTAGCGGAGCACGGACACTTCAGGCCTAATTAGGCCGATTAGAAGAGCCCACTCTCCAGGCTTGGGGGTGCCCTCTGCGGTTTATAGGGTGTTACATGCGAGATTTGTTTTCCAGAAGCCCTGATGTGTCCAGAATGTTCCCTTCAGGAAAACCGCTCTGTCTAGATACACTGTGTTTGTGCGTGTGCCCCACTGCTACCTCGTATATAGACGCTTGGGTTTGCCTCCCAAACGTGGTTTTTCCCTGTGCTCACAAGAACGAGATCCTGGGATGTTGTGTCATCACATTGCTTGCGTAGAATTGATGCCCCAGCTCGGAGCCGGATGACCCAAGGACGTAGCCCAGGTGTAGGGCCATCAGACTATTTACAGTGTGAGGCATGGACGATGCAGTCATGCAGTTTTCGGACAGGTGAGGAAATCGTCGTGCAACTCACGGATGCCGATGCCAATAACATCACGCAGTCCCTAGACGGTGAGGGCGGTGGCATTTTCACACCCGGCACGCTGCAATGCGTCGCCGGTACCCAGTTGGGCGGTGTGGACGTGGAAGCTCGGCTCAATCGGGTGGATATAAATTTTAAAGCTGAGCTGACATTTTCAAGTCGCTCAAACCCTTGGAGCTCTTGAGAATCCTGCTGGCTTGACACCATCATGGGTCACAGGCACGTGTTACAAAGAAAACAACGAATGCAACTAAGGGCAACCTGGTCATTCAGGGTATCCTTTGCCACGCGCCCAGGGACAGACAACTCCGCAAACCTGCAGAGGCGTAGAATAGTGTGTGCGTCTGTATAAATAAATAAAGATAAATATAAATACAAATATAAACAAAAATATTAATAAATGTACATACATATATATATATTATATGTATGTATATAGATGTTTGTGTGTGTGTGTATATGTATATGTATGTATATATATATATATATATATATATATATATATGTGTGTGTGTGTGTGTGTGTGTCTGTGTGTGTGTGTGATATACACACATAACTGATCCGTGCAATTAGCCGAGAAGTAAAATGTTTTTCTCTCTATATATATATATATACATATATACTATGTATATCTAGATGTGCAGATTGTTTTTATGAAGGATCTGGAGACGGATCGAGGGCGAGAGCGCGCCTTCGCTGTGTTAAGCGTGATGTCTGCCAAGGCGACGATGGCGAGCAACGTCAACGCGTGGACTACTGGAGTGGTGGCGCCGACTCGTGGCAAAACCTCCCCGCCCCTCTTGTGATGCCCTGTGTGTGTTGTGAGTTCTTTTGGGAGACGAAGTGGTTG